TTACCCACCCATCCACCTTCCCACCTAACCATCCACCCATCCACCCATCCATCCACCCACTCATACACCCATCCACCCTCCTACCTACTCATCTACCCATCCATCCACCCACCAACTCATCCACCCACTCACCCATCTACCCACCCATCCATTCATCCACCACCTCCACTCACTTAAGCATTCATATATCCATTCATCTACTCACCCACCCATCCACCTACTTACTTACCACTCACTAATCCACTCACCATTCCCACAAATACTTATCCAGCTACCCTTCCTACCACTATCCATCTATCCATCCAAGCTGGAAATCAAGGTGACATCTCTGTCTCTGCTGCATGAGTCAGGACAGCCTATACTATGCTCCAGGGACAAGTCCATTTTAAAATCCAAAGACTTAGGACAGTGACATTTCTTGTTTGTACATGTCATAGGCCACTCCGGTCATCCGAGGAGGGAGTAGAACTTGGCTTCTCACAGCCATCTAGAGACCCAGGATGTTTCCATTTTGGAACACAACTCTGTTTATATATGGCCTGTGTGTGTGATTCTGAAGGAACTGTGAGGGAAGAGAGAGGAAGGCAGTAGATGTTTTGGAGACTAATTTCTTCATCTACTTGGAATATAAGTCACATTATGAGTGAGCACTAAGCATCTCTGTCACCGATCCCCATCACTGGCATCTAGACTGCCCCACACATTTCTTTCCATCTCTTCTGCCATTGATCCACACTCAACTCTTTCATCCTCTTCTGGACCACAATAGGTCTTTTCAGGTCTTCTTTTCTGCTCTCAAAATTAGACCATGTGATTCCTGAATTCCCTTTGTGGTAGGCAGAATAAGTCCCCCTCTCATACCCTGAGACTGCTTAGAGACAGAGTCACACCCAGTTCTCCATACCTGTGAACATGTGACTGTACATAGCAAAAGTGACTTGGAATATGCCATAAGATAAGAACCTTGAGATGGGGAGATTATCCTGACTTAATTAGGTGGACTAACCCCCTCATACATGTCCTTACATGTGAAAGAATCATGAGATCCAGACAGGGGAGAGAAGCTTGCTGATGCTGAGCTACTGGGCTTGATGATGGAGAATGAGGTGGCTAGTTGACTCTGGAAAAGGTGCAATGAAGGGTTTTTTTCCCTCCTGGAGCTTCCAGAATGGTGGCCCTGCCAGCACCTTGATTCTAGCCCAGTGAAGACCTTCCCAGGCCCCTGGCCTCCAGAGCTGCATGACAATAACTTGCAGCATGTGGAGACACTCACTTTGTGTATAAATCTCCAGCAGCAGCAAGAACCTAGCACAGCATCCAGCGGTCTCTCAACATTTAGCATCACATCCTTCCATGTTTCTCCAGACCCTAGGCTTGGTGAGGCCCAGACTGGGTGCTTTCCTTCTCTCCTGTGTGATTCTGCAGTATGGTACAGTCTGACACATATTTCTTAGTGTTTCTTCAGTGAACAAGGGGGAGGAAAAGGAGAAGGAAAAGGGTGAGAAGAGGAGGGAAGGAAGGAAGATGTCTTGAGATTTCCCAGCCACAACAAAACAGAGCTGTGTTTTGTCTGGCATGCAGAATTGTTAGGGATGTAGATGCTGTGTGCGTTCTGTTTGGAAGGCAGGAAAATGAGTTTCTTCTCCAGTTAGAGAAACCCAAGGCTGTGTTGAGAGCCCACTGTTTATCCTCCAGAACCAGGAGGCTGTGAACTCCTCCTGGGTCAAGGGCATGTCTTAGGACTTAAGCCCTCGGTCACGGGTCTTGTTCTGGGTGTTTCTGCTGTCTGGCTTCAGCGACATAAGACACAGACAGAGGGGACAGGAAGAGGTGCCAGAGTTGTGGCAGCTGGATCATTAGGGTTTCCAGGCTATGGGCTGGAGATCTTGATAGATATTCTTAGCAAATCCTAGGGGGATCTTCTCTATACTCTGGTCACTCAAACTTGGGAGTACACATAGACATCTGACCCTCTCAATGAGAATTGTGGTAGAGGAAACAAAAAGCATGTCACAGGGTGCTGGTACAGATGCTGAGGGCTGGCCCCACCCTTTCCCTCACTTCACTCACTTGAAAATTACAGACCTTTGTATATACCCTGTATACCTGGTCCCTAGATGGTCCCTGGCATATAAAAGGCACTTGGAATTATGAGCATGCAACCCCTGCCCTGTCTACACCTCTGCTTCCAGCCCAAGATCTTTCCTTCAAGTATCCTGCCTGGCCCTGGATTCCTCCTTGCCCCTTAGCTCTGCTCACTGGATCTTAAGTTATTCCTGATCTCAGCAACATCTGCTGGCCATGGCAGATGGCTGTGCCAGGGCTTAATGTTCTGCATTACAGAAACATCTGCTGGGCAGGGCTCCTGGGGTGTGGGCTCAAGCCATGCTCCACAGACATCCCAGAGTAGGCACGGGCCATGGTGGCAAAGATTTGCTTTTGGGTGTATTTCAAGGACATGGTGTCACAGCCACATGTGAGTTGGTGAAACAGTGGTGAGCAGGAATCATCCTCAGTGTCCCGACCTGGCTTTGTCTGGCTCTCAGTGTCCCTGCCCTCTCCATGAGCAGTACTCAGAGTTCCTGCAGCATTCCCAGTACTATGAGCCATCTCTCACAGGCCAGTGCTACTGGGAGTTCCCAGGCCTGAGAGATGGAGCTTTCTGTACCCAAGCTGTGGGCATCTTCTGGTCTCAGCAACACCTAACAGTCATGACCTTGACAGAGGGACTGCAACCTCAGGAGAGCCCTCTCTAGCCTGGTGTTGGCCATATGTCCTCCAGGCCTGTCAGCAGCTGGCTACCAAGATGTCATTTCCCCTTGCAAGTCTCTAGTTCCTCCTCCTGCCTGGATCGGTCTTCCCAGGGTAGTGACTCCCAGGGTGCTTATGAAAGTGATGGAGTTAGTGCTGACGACCCAGGGAACTTGTGCTGGGCGAACCCTAGAACTTTCTATGTATGAACTCAATTCTTTGCCCAACAGTCCTGGAATGGGGCCACAGGGGTCCTGTGCTTCCCTGGCATAGAGCCCACTGCAGATTGGCTCCCTGTCTTGATATCTGACTTCTCACTCTACCTCCTCTGCTGTGCCTTCCCCCTCCCCTCATTGGCACTGCTTACCCCACAAGCGTGGGGTCCCCAGGGTCTCCTCCTCCTTGCTCTTCTCACTTGATCATCTTCTTCCCCTGGGTGACTTCTCTTACCACTACCCCTACAGCAGAGAAGGAGAGCTTGGTGGGACTGGGTGAAGGGCAGGAGATAAGGATACCATGTTGAGAAAATGGGGTGCTCAGAGCATGGGAAGCTTTTAATTATTGGTGGTGAAGTGTGTCCATGCCAGATACCGACTGTAGAGCTTATGATCCGTGGGGCAGGGCTGAGAAGACACCTTACAGAGGCAGTGGTTGAGGTCCTGGTAGAGGGCCCCTGACTCTTAAGCTCTGGAGGGTATGGTCCACAGGGCTCTTGGAGAAGGTGCTGGAGCTGGTGGTGGGGTGGTGGGGCAGCTACTAGCCAGGCTGAAGTGCGAGGTAAGGGTTAGTGGGGTGTTGCGCAGTCACAGACTGCTGTGTCCAGGTTGTCTTTGGTGTGAAGAGGGGCATCTCTGCAGGTAGTTGACTGTGGACTGATGGGTAACAGGGGCCGGGCATAGCTGAGTGCTGCTCTCATGTCCCTGGGCAGGGTGAGCTCCTCCAGTGTTGGCCAGGATGTCACCAGCATGTGCCGTCGGTTGTAGGCAGAGCATGATCCAGCCAGGGCTGATTTGTTCTTAGGAGTTTGCATCAAAGAGGTCACTGTTACTGTGCTGAGAATCAATACAAGGTAAGGAAGATGATCAGATGGGAAAATAGCAGTCGTAAGAGAGAGAGGGAACAGTAAGCAGAAGGGGTCAGAGACTCCTGTACCCCAGATCTGAAAATCCAGTCCTCAAGATTCCCACACCCCCAGATCTGAAAATCCAGTCCTCAAGACCTCTGTGCCTTCAGATCTAAAAATCCAGTCCTCAATCAAGATCAAGCTCTTCCTCTTCTTCACAGCCCACGTCCAGCTAGCCACCAAGCCTTATACCTCCCTAATGCCCTTCAGTGTGTACTTCCCTTCCTCTCCCTCAGTCTGCCCCTGTGACATTGTGCTGGCCTCCCTCATCTCTTCCCACTCCATCCCCTTCCACAGTTCCAGCCTTGGCATACAGGCTGCTGCCTGAATGGCTTTCTCCTCCTGTCAGCTCCTCTTCCAAGAGCCAGCTCTGTGCCAGCTCCTGGCTCCAGGCCTTGTGGTAGGCAGGTGGGGCTGTGGGGCACAGCCTCAGGCTGGTTCTGGGTCTCCCTGTAGGTGGGAAGGACCTATTGAGGAAGAGCTGAGGCCAGACACAGTACAGGCAGAGAGAGGGCAGGATGGGAGGCTAAAGAGGAGCAGGGGCAGGAAGATGAGGTTCCAGATATGGCCTCTCACCCTCAGAGATCTAGTACTAGCCTGGCACTTCCCTGTCTCCAGGAGTGTGAGACCAGCCTGGTACCTCCTGGTCCCAGGACTGTGGGGCTGGGGCCTGTGGAGGCAGAGAATCAGATGAGCTCCTGGGGTCTGTATTTCTCCTCTTCTCTGAGAAGTCTTCCAGGTCCATCTCTGAGCCTCCTTCAGATAGGAAATCTGGCTTTCCTTCAAGCTATTAACTGCCAGGACCTTGCAGCGTCTGGCTTGTGAGTGGTGCTCACAAACTGATGTGTATGTGTGCGTGTGCAAAGGGTGCATGTGTGAGTGTACATGCATGGTATAAGCATATGTGTGTGGGGTGCATAGGATGCAGGCATGAAGCACATATGATGCATGTAGAGTATATGGTAAGTATAGGAATGAGCATGCGTAGTACATGCATGAACACAAATGCAGTGTGTATGGATGCCTACATCTATGGACATGTGTGTCACATACCAATGACTGGGCATGGCATATGTGTGTATATGGGCATATGGTATATGTGTGTACCATGATTGTCTCCCTGTAGGCTGCCCTGGCATGTGGGACAACATCACGTGTTGGAAGCCTGCCCACGTAGGAGAGATTGTCCTGGTCACCTGCCCTGATCTCTTTCGAATCTTCAACCCAGACCAAGGTAGGTAGCCTAGTGTCTCTCTGGTTGCTCTGGGCCAACCTGGACTCAGATTTGGCCCAGGCCCTAGGATGAGCTACTCACCAAGGACAGGGCAGATCCTGGGGACCGGACCTTCCTGGGACAGATGGTCAGGAGCCCCTGCTCCAGAGGGAGTATGCTGAAGATGGGAGGTGGAGCCCCTGCTCCAGAGCATGTGTGCTGGAGATGGGACGTAGCTTAGGCTCATGTGAGCATTGCCATGATCCTCTGAGCTGCACCCTCTGGTGTGGGATGGGGGCCAGATCTCCTGTTCACTCTTGTACTCCAAGTCCCTGGTCTGTTCTACCAGATGGGAATGTGGCATGGTGGCTTCCTCCCAGAGGAAAGGTCTCTGGATAGAATGATGTCCACATGTGGACTCTCAACCTAGGACTAGACTCATGTTGCATAGTTAGTGTTAGCTGCCATTAGAGGACACACAGATGACAGGCACACATACTCAGACATCCTCAGATGAACAAGATTGTGGACAGATAACAGGAACACATGATCAGATGTCCTTGGATAAATAGGAGTGTGGCTGGCCAGCATACTTGTTGGCAAATGAAGCATTTTCTTGATCACTGACGGCTGTGAGGTGTCTGTAAGGGCCCAAGATAGGAGGCACTCGTGGTTTTGTTCTCCAGGGACTCCTAGCTGTAGTTTGTGACCCTGGATGCTGGCTTGGCAACAGATTTACAACAATGACATCTTCCTGTGAGAACCCTGGTGGGGGTAACCCTTGAGGAGCTGACTTTGAGCATGTCTGCATTTGGGATCTCCAGATGCTACTGAAATGATGAGGGGAGGAGGTCCAGAGAAAGATTTAGGAGCCTGTAGGGTAGGCACAGGGCTGAGCTGCATGGTGGATGCAGGATGCTCTGCCCAAAGGCAGGGATCACTGATGGTTCCAGACCCACGAGCGGGTCATCCTGTCAGAGTCTAAGAAGCACTGGGAGCAAATTCACATTGACACCTCAGACTCCAGCCTCTAGGGAAAGGGGCCTGAAGGAAGCATGGGGAAAGACAGTGGCAGGTGTTGGGTCACAGGCTTCTGTCTCTGTTCTTCCATCTCAAGACCAGAGAAAGTGTTTTCATCTCCTGTGTACCCTACCCTGCTTTGCTACCCACTACTGCTACTTCTCAGACCTCCTGCCAGCCCAGAAGGTGGGTGACTTCCTAGCTCTCCCAGCCCCGGGGCATGGGGACTGAGCAATTTTGGAAGAGATTGGCAGGGAAGTGCTGGAGAGAGGCCCCATGAATGGAGGCACTGTGGCCCAGTAGCGGCCTGTCATTCAGCTCTTTCCTAAAGCAGTCTTTTACACACTAACTTAATCACTTCTGTGTGAGTTGCTTTCATTCAGCCATTTATTTAAGATTTGTTGAGCATCTACTCTTGGTCAGATTCCCTGCCAAGATTGCTTCTTTTCAACCACAGCCACCACAAAAGACAAAATGAATTCACAGTAAAGTAAGATTTCCTTTACAGGCCCTTCCTCTGCCCCTCCTTCCGCCAGTGCCAGAAATGTTATTTACACCTGTTCCTAATGGCTCATTAAGGCAGAGTCTTTAGCACCTCTGTTCACAGGCTGACTGGAGAGACTTGCCCTCCTCCTGGAAGGGAGGGAGGGAGTGCGACTTCCCATTTGCTTTCTCAGTTCCCAGGAAGTCAGGCAGCAGTGTTAGCTCTGTGGGGTCTTGGAGATGCTGGAGAAGTGGGGACTTTCCTCCCCCTACCCCTCTTCTCCCTTTCCCTCCTCCCCATTCTCTCCCTTTCCCCCTTCTCCTTCCTCTTCCTTCTCCCTTTTCTCCCCTCTTCCCCCTCCTCCTGGAACACAGCTCTGTGCTCTGGAAGTGGAGGTAGAGGTCTCCTCTGCCTGATGGGGCCAGCAGGGCTCTCCTCAGAGTTGCGGGATGGGGAGGGGGAAGAAGTGGTCACTAAGAACAGACCCCAACTCCAACCTCTGCTCACCTCTACATTCTGTCTCTTTTTCTCTGCTGCAGTCTGGGAGACGGAAGCCTTCGGTAAGAGGAACCTTGGTGAGGACAGATCACTGTCCATTTGTCCATCCAGCAGGAGCTCAGCCTCAGGAGGCCCCAGGGGCGGGTGGAGTAGCTGGCCAGGTTCTTCAGGGGTCCTATCTGTCCCTCCTCCCTTTCTTCAAACCAACTTAATCCTCCTGGCAACGGGGCTTAGGAAGAGGGACACAGCCCTTGACTTATTCAGAGGTTGAAAGTCACTGGTACAGGGTTAGGACATGTGTCTGCTTGTCTGCAGAGTGCATATGCATGCACACATGTAGGTCTTCACTGGGCATAGACATCAATGGCTGAGAAGCTAGACTGTGTATTCAGCGAGCAAGAGAACGGAGGGACCTGGTGGCATGGTGCACAGCTGAACTCTGAAGAGGCCAGGGCATGGAGGTGGTGGAAACAAGATTTTAGGTTGAGAGGAAATGTGGGTTTGTTGCCAGAGAAGCATGGACTTGGTGTGAATGGGAATAGAGATTGGTCTTGGATAGGAAGGGGGTATCCAGAGTGACATGGACAGGGAATAAATGGGAATGGAGAGTAGAGAAAGAGAGGAGGGAATTGGGGATAGACTTTGGTATCCTGGGTTCCCTTTGATGAGGAACAGGCTTAGAGCTGAGGTAGAGTGTTGAGTGCCAAAGAAATCCCAGGCCTTGGGCCCACGTTGTTCTTTGTTGTTTTCTATTCCCCCTTTCCTCCTCACCTGTGATCTCTTCCATCCTCCTGGTAATGGCCATGGCAGCTCTCACCAGTGTGCGATGGAGTTGCAGGCCATCCTGAGCACCACATACTCTCAGCCCTAGTGAGACTGGTGCTGGCAGGCCCAAATGTCAGAGGGAGAGTGGCTATTTGTGGGGGGCTTCCTTTGACCCAAGTCCAGCCTCTCCATACCAAGAGAAGGCTTAGCCCTGGCAGGTAAACAAAGAGCAAGGCAGCAAGCCCATTAACCAAGCATTATGATACATGTCCAGTCAGTGTTTTTGCAGGTGTTGGGTTTTGCTGGCTCTGACCCCTTAGTCCTTTCAGATGTGGGAGATGGTCTGGGTGGCTGGAGGCTTCCAGGCTTCCCTTGTAGGCTGGGCTCTGCCTTCTGCAGCTGTGTGCTCCCTGATAGAGCTACAGATTGTGTCCATGGAAAATACACCTGAGTGCACGGGTAGAATGATGTCAGAAAAGCTGAGGTCTTAGGAAATCCCTTGCAGACCCCTAGTAAGGGGTCCCTGGGTTCTGTGGTCCCTGATGAATCTGAACCCCCAGAGGTAGAACACACCTGTTGCCTGTGCCACAGAGCCCCATAGGCTTGCTAGCACACAGAGGCTGGGCCTCACTGTGGGCTCTGATTCAGTGAGTCTGGGTAGGGTCTGAGTATGCCCAGCTAGCCAGGCTCCCAGAGTGGGTGGGGGGGGGCCCGCTCTGGGGAGGATGCCCACTTTGGGGACCACTACCCTGAAATTCTGTGCTCCTCAGAGTTGCCAGGACAAAACTGTCTCCTGAAGCCAGGACTTCACTTCAGGGTTTTGACAGCCTGATGATTTCTGTCAGAGCAACATTCTATAGAGCAGGTCTGGGAACAAAACGTTTATACTTTCCTGAGCCTACACTGGGTTATAAAAAGAAAAAAAGAAAGGAGAAAATAAAAGAAAGGAAATGGCTTTTCTCTGTAGGACACTTAAAAAAATGTTTTCAAAGCAGCATTTCTTTTCTCTTCCAGCTGGCTTGGTGGGTAGGGCAGAGAGGAAATGAGGGGTAAGAGGGGCGGGGAGAGGGGAGAGGGGGGAACTCAGCCGAGGTGCAGGCTCCTAGGACTTCCGGAGGACTGGGACAGAAGTTGCCAGTGGCAGCCCCTGGGGCAGATTCCCTGGAAGGAGGGCCAACCTGGCATGAAGCTGTGGGAGGGCAGCAGCAAGCTCCCTCGTTATTCCTGGGCCTGCTCACTGCCTCCACAGTCTGTGCCCTGGTAGAAGCAATGGGAACCAGGCTCTCCACTCCTGCAGAACTCTCTTGCCTGGCAGGGTCTCTCCTCTTCCTGCTTGCCCCAGGAAGTCTGTTTGCGACTCTCTTGGATGAGGACATCTGGCCTTCAATCTTCTGTCTCAGCGAAGAGAGGAGGCAGATTGGAAAGGCAGAGAGTCTTCCCCTCCCGTCCTTTCCTATGTCCCCCAACCCCCTGCCTGCCTTGTGTTTTGTTTCTTCCATGAGCTCCCCAGAAGCATCCTCTGTCACTGAGGGGACAGGTCTGTTCAGTAGCATGTGTGGAAGCTCCTCCTTCCGCTTTTGGCATGCATCTCCTGTTCAACTCAATTTCTTGTGAGAAGATGAGCCTCCCCTGAGTGGAGAGGTGGGAAGTGCCTGGAAGCTAGATGTCTATCAGGGCCTGTCCACCCTCTCCTTTGGATATGAGAGACGCTCCCTTTTAAAGGCCCTTTGAAGGAGAATGGCATAGCAATCTTTAGAGGCTAAAACTGCCCCTTGAACAGCAAGAACCAGCCTGAACTATGGGGAAGCAGTGCCTGCCTTTTAGTGGCCCATAGTTACCCTCCTCTCATATCCACAAAATGGGCTGGAAGTCAAAAGAAAATTAAGGCATATTAGTGACAGGAAAAAGACCACCAAACTCTGAAAGGCAAAACTTAAGAAAACCTGAACATGCATGTGAATAATGTTGCACTGGGTGGGTGAGTGGGGGTCTGTGCCTGTCAATCCAACAGGCCAGCCACATGACCCACAGGTTTTCTGATGGGAAATCTTGTCTGCAGTGGCTGGGCTCAAGGGCTGCCAGGCACCCAGCCTTGCTGTAACCTTCATGGTTTGTGGACTCACCCTGGATCCCAGAGCCCTGGTGAAAGTCTCTGGACTGGGGGGTGAGGGTCAGCAGTCTGCAGTCATTGTTAGCACAGAGGTTGGTCTGCACACTGCATGATGTGCTAGCTAGGGCTTGGGAGGTCTCTCTCTCTTTCTTGGTGAACATTTGGGAATTTTCTAGAAGGGACACAGGCATGTTAGAAGCACAGGCTCAGAACTTTGCCCTGGTTAAGGGCTACGCCTGCCCTTTGCTTCCTCTACCTCTAGAACCTTAGTGAAGGCTGAGCTCCGGGTTCAGAAACACTGACCCCTAAGCCTTATGTCCCAAGCCTCCCAGCAGGGCATTAGGCTACTTATGAAGGTGTTTTGCAAATGAGTTTCAGGGTTCTCTTTAGTCTTTCAAACCTAGTGCCTTACTGGAGTTTTCCTGTCGACACAGATGCAGGAGTGGTGAGCCGGAACTGCACAGAGGATGGCTGGTCTGAGCCCTTCCCACATTACTTTGATGCTTGTGGGTTTGATGACTATGAGCCTGAGACTGGGGACCAGGTAAATGTCAACACCTGTCCTCCAGAAGTTCCTGCTGTATGTAGACAGTGGTCTGGAGTTCCTTTTGTATACCAAGCCAGAAAGAGTAGGATGTTTATCTACCCCACTGGGGCTGAGAAGCCCTGAGGTGCCACCAACTATGGGTTCCCCACACCTTGGCTGCTGTCATTGGATTTCCCAGAAATTGAGGGATTAATTCTGGGGTATGGGGCTTCCTGAACCCTTCCCCAGGCTCAGCTATTCTCTATTCTCACTAATCAGCACACTTTCCTTCAACATGCTCAGTATGTACTGAGCATGCACAGAATGCCAGAACACAGGCCCTATGCAGAGGAGACTAAGCAGCTCTACCAGCTGCCAGTAGAAGGGGCTTTGGGAGGCAGGGCTGAGGGAGGGGGGCCTGGGCCTGGAGATGGGCAAGCCTGGCTTGGAGGCTGGGTACAGGTCCTGGGGGCCCATGTCTGTCCCCATGTGGTGGCTGGTGGCCTACAGCAGGCCCTGCACAGAACCTTATCCTGTGTTCCCCAGGACTATTACTACCTTTCGGTGAAGGCCCTCTACACGGTCGGCTACAGCACCTCCCTTGTAACCCTTACCACTGCCATGGTCATCCTGTGCCGTTTCCGGTGAGATCCCCAAAATGTTCCAGCAAGTGTGCTTAGAACCCAGCCCCTGTGTCAGCCCTTGGAAGCTCCCCTGACCTCTAGCATGGCAGGTGGAAATCTGACTTCTGTGAGGGCAACTGACCTATCCCAGGTCACACAGCCAGGTGGAGGCTGGGCAGGACACCTGCCTTGCTTGCTTTGATCTTCCTGTTCTACATAGACAGAAGCTGCAGAAGGGAGCTGGAAGCCAATGAGGGTGGAGACAAGAAAGGGGTTTGTTGAGCAAGGTGGGCACCTTATTGAGATGAGCCATGAGTGGACTCCAAGCAGTTCCGAGTGGAACTTCCGGTGTGGAAGCTATGGGCTTGAGGCTGAGGGGGGGCAGTGGCACTGCAGAGGCTTGGGGTCAAGTCTCCTTCCTCCCTGGCCATCACCTAGGAAGCTGCATTGCACCCGGAACTTCATCCACATGAACCTGTTTGTGTCCTTCATGCTGAGGGCCATCTCTGTCTTCATCAAGGACTGGATCTTGTATGCTGAGCAGGACAGCAATCACTGCTTCATCTCCACCGTGAGTGAGCCTGGGACCTCAGGGATGCTGCCTACACTCCCGGATCCTACACCCCCCGGGACCCCTATAGACAGGACCTCTATTCCCAGGGACTCCTGCAGACAGACCATTTACTCCCTTACCTCCCTCCCCCAGCAGCCCCAGTCTCCCTATATTTGCTGTTCCAATGATCGAGGAAGCCTGAGAAAGGAAGCCTGGTGAGGCAGTCATTAGTAGTCAGCCCAGACACATTTCTTCTCTCATACTGGGTCTTGTACTGGGAGCACATTCCAGGAAGGTCAGGTAGGGATTTAAGGTTCACTTCACCAAGGAGGAAACTGAGGCTCAGAGGGGTCTTAGTTGTTAGCCAGCTGTGTGGCCCCTATCATTCACCTGATCATTATCTGTGGTCTTTCCACAGACCTCGCTGTCATTCACTGGTCACTGGCTGTGGTCTTTTCCACAGAGCAGTGTGGAGTCCAGGGTCTGGCTGGGAGGGTATGCTTGAAGTCCCTCTGAGAAGAGATTTCTGGGGACCAGGGTATTTTCCCCTCTACCTGTGGGGGATCCAGCTCTTCATTTCACAAGGAGCCTTCTGTAGGGATCTCAGGCTGCCCTGGTGGGACAGAGGGGCCTGGTGCCCTGTGTCTGCTCTTTAGTGCTTGTCTGTTTTGCCTCTCTGAGAAACTTCAATTCATAGGATGCTGCAGAATCAGGTCTGCCATCCAGGAGCATTGAATCCTCAGGTGTTCATGGTGTTGGTGCATGAGCAGGTGGGAAGTGAGGGGCCCCAGGCCTTGCCTCTGTCCTGCAGGGCCAGATTGCCTGGGTTTGCTTGGAGACAGGCAAGAACTCACCCCTCCTGATCTGTTGCCCTGCAGGTGGCCTGCAAGGCTGTCATGGTTTTCTTTCACTACTGCGTGGTGTCCAACTACTTCTGGCTGTTCATCGAGGGACTGTACCTCTTCACGCTGCTGGTGGAAACCTTTTTCCCAGAGAGGAGATACTTCTACTGGTACATAATCATTGGCTGGGGTAAGTTACCACTGCCCAGCATGGGCTCTGGCTTGAGGCCCATCTGAGGCCTTGGTCCTGGCTCCAGGGGGTGCCAGCTGAGAACGGAGCTCTGCCTGATTTGATGGCCACCTGTCTTAGCTGCACCCCTTTGTTTCAATGCCCATGGGGGTCACCATGGGGAGAAGTTCTACCCTAGAAACACTGCCGAGCAACGAGGCAGCACAAGTCCTGTCCCCAGCTGAGAATGGGAGGTGCACACCTTGCAGAAAGCCTGGGTGTGAGGGATAGTGAGGGCCCAGGAACTCTCAGTGCTAGGGGACCCAGGCCTCTGTTACCATGATGCCCTTTGCTTGTTTTCTCAGGAACTCCTACTGTGTGTGTGACGGTGTGGGCCACTCTGAGGTTCTACTTCGATGACACGGGGTGAGTGTAACCCTGGGGCCTCCCCCCAGGAGGACTGCCTGGAACTGCCTCACAGGAACTGCCTGGCCACCTCTCCAGACTCAGGTCCCCATGGAAGCTCCGTCCTGATATCAGCAGGGAAGCCAGCAAGATGAACAGGATTTCTGAGATTTCTCTGACCTGGCTGCTCAGAGAATCTGTTTTTCTCCTGGGCAATGGGGAGTAAAGTTGAGGGTGGGGCCTCTGGTCCACAGAGGAGACCAAAGACCCCACGACTTCACAGAGGAGTGGAGGGAAAGGGTGACCAGATGAAAGGCTGTACAGCCAGGGCCTGGCCTCTGCAGCACACAGAGCTGTCCTAGGAAAGCCAGCCCCTCCTCAGGAGCTGGATGGAAGACAGAACAGACCCCAGCTAGCTGGGCAGTGTTCTGAAGATGCCTGGGCTGACCCCTGAACACGACTTTCTTCTCTCTGCCCATCTTTCAGCTGCTGGGATATGAATGATAGCACAGCTCTGTGGTGGGTGATCAAAGGCCCTGTTGTTGGCTCTATCATGGTGAGTGTCCGTGGGTCAAAGAAGAGGGGTAGAAATAGACCTGGGCATGGAAGGAGGGAGCTGGAATGGTCAGCACAGACTGGCTTTCTTCTCCTCATGTGGCATCGTATCCTGCAACATGGATAGACAGATGGCTCAGCTCCTCCCCTATGGCGGCATAGGTACTACCTGTATGATTTTTCAGATCGAATCTCAGACTTTACATTCAGAACCAGCCTTGGATCATGATCCTTTACCCACTGCCTAGCTGGGGTTATAGGCATAAGCCATCACACTCAGCTTGCATTCTGAACTAGAGCCTGGCTAACTTTAGTGCGGGCTGGCTTTGAGCTGTAGTCTTCCCATCCCCACTTCCTGTGATGCTGGAATTAATAGAGGTACACACTTCCTCACTGAATGCCTTTGGGACGTTTTTAAGCTTACTTCCTTGTTCTTGTTAGGTTTACATCTAGGAAGTCCCCCAGTTTGGGCTTGTATCGGGTCTAAGGACATTCTTTCATTGTATTTTCGGATGGGTTACTGCACATGTTTAGGTAAATTATTGGCTTTTGTTTTTTGTTCTTTGCTTCAGTATGTTCCTGAAATTTCTTACTAGTTCTTACCCCTTTTAATGTGCTTCACATGGGATTTCTCTGCAGAAAATTATATAACCCTTAAACAAAAACAGTGTTTGCCCTTCCTTTCCAACATTTGTCCCTTTTGTTCCTGTTTTGACTTTGGTGTTTGGCAGTTACTCTGCACTGAATTGGGGAAGTCTCTCTTCCTGGCTGGTTTTAGTATTTTTCAGCCCAATCATGGGCTTGAACTCAGAGTGTGGGTGCTGTCCCTGAGCTTTTGTGTTAAAGGCTAGCACTCTACCTCTTGAGCCATAGCTCTACTTCTGGCCTTTTGCTGGTTAGTTAGAGATATGTCTCATAGAATTTTCCTGCCTGGGCTGCTTCAACCCTGGGTCCTCAGATCTCAGTCTTCTGAATAGTCAGGATTACAGGCATGAGACACTGGTGCCTATGTTTTGTGTTTTGTTTTGTTTTGTTTTTTAAAGTCAAGCAGAAATACTGACTTTTATCAGTTGTGTCGTGGATACACTCACTGACGTGGTCACACTCTTTAGTGATCAACATTTACAATATTTCAGTTATTTCACTGTGAACAGTGCCACATGGAATGCATTTGTGCCTAGCCTTGAGCACGTGTGACTATATCTTTAGAAGAAACTTTTGCAAGTGGGATTTCAGGGACAAAGATGCGTGTGTTTAACATTTTTGAAGATGGAAAATTGCCCTCTGTGGCCCAAGTACAGGACGCTAACTTCTAATAGTTCTGTCTTTGCTGATGTTTCTGTACCAAACTATTTGCTGCCTTCTAGGGGACAATGGAAACTTACTGTTTCAACTCATATTATGACAAATATTTGTAGTTTTTTTGGTGTGCATTCCTTGGATGAAATCTTTGTCACTATGATCTGTTTGCTCTTTTAGTACTTTGCTAAATTACTTACTAATAGGTTGCTTAAAGTTTTTGCATTGATCTTCCTGAATGCTGTGTGTGTGTGTGTGTGTGTGTGTGTGTGTGTGTGTGTGTGTGTGTGTGTGTGTGTGTGTGTGTGGTGTTATCCTTGCTTTTAATTTTTTTTTTTTTTGAGACAGTGTGTAACCTGGATCCTTCTCATGCTGGGCTTATTATAGGCGTGCAGTGCTATGCCTGGCTTTTCTTGTCTGGGTTTTTTGTTTGTTAGCTGGATTTTGTTACCCTTTTAGGTAAATAGAGATTGTCTTTTGATTTGCTCTGAAACAATTAAGCAGCATGTAAATTGCATCTCTTCTTTTGAAGTTCATAAAATTATTCTGGCCTGATGCCTTTTAATGCATGTATCTTTGAGTACTTTTAAAATTTCCAAGGCTATTGCTTCAACTGAGATTTTTGGTCAGCTCCACATTCTCTTACGATGTAAAACATATCTCTTGTCCTCTTTCTCACCCCTAAATTTGTTGAATCGTATTTTCTCCTTTTGGATTGAGAAGCACTTGCTGAGCTAATTGCAGACATGTAGCAGAGAACAAGAGGGACAGAGGAGGAAGTGTGTGACACCTTTCTGAAGGCCTAAAGAAAGGAATGAAACAAACATTAAATATTTTCATGGATCAAGGCTCTTATTTTGTCCAATTTCTTTCTTAGGACTTTTTACCTGTGCTCATTTCCTTCTTGTATATGTTGAATTTGTGGTGAGCTTTTCCTGGCTTTGTTATTTTTCAGCAGCTATTATGTTTTAGTTAGATTGGCTTTAGGTGCTCAGTCTTTTTCTCTAAGGATGGCTTTGGCTGCACCCCAAAGCCATCCCCGTGCAGTCTTGTGTTGTTCCTTGTTTGGTTTCTATTTATTTGCTCCCAGCCTCTGCCTCTCCTTCTCTACACACAGCTTCCCACTTTGTTGAGAAAGCCTTTGTGTCAGATCTCTGGAGCAGGCAAGTGCTGCAGCGTGCAATTAGCAAAGCCTCTGCCTGTCCCCACTGCCTCCCCCCACGTCGTGACTCTGATCTTGGAGTTTCTTTCTGTTTTTATTAGACAAAGTATGGTTGTGTAGCTCAGGCTTGCCTCAAACACATGCTTCTCCTCAAATACGTGTGCACCTCAAGCTCCAAGTGCTAGGATTATAGGTGTACATGACTATGCTCAGATGAACTTGGAGAAGGTTTTCCAGAAGAGGCTGTTACCTCTGAGGTTGCCTCTTCTTCTCTTTCAAGTTTTGGTTTTTCTATCACCCCAGTCCTACTTTCTTTCTCTTTCCAGAAACTGCTCACTTGTCTGGATTATGCATGACAGTCTTTGTATTCCTGGGGACCTTTGGTCCTTTACTTCCATGGCTCTGGAGGAGCCTGAGGTGGGGTATATGAGGGTGCCATCAAGATGCTGCCATCTTGAATTATAAATCTGGGTAGGATCTTGAGTGTCCTGGGGAATAAATTGCCAGGGGGAGCCTTGCCCACAGTCATTTCCACCTACTGCTTTTTGCTCTACAGGTTAATTTTGTGCTTTTCATTGGCATCATCGTCATCCTTGTGCAGAAACTTCAGTCTCCAGACATGGGTGGGAACGAATCCAGCATCTACTTGTAAGTACCACCGTGTGAAGCCATTTCTGACTGCCTTGAGGGTCCCACATGAGGTGGGATGAGGTGTGGGCCTTGCTGACTGGATGCGCTAGCTTCCTGATTAAAGTGCCTCTGAAATAGAGTTGTCCTTCCCAGACCCTCCCAAATTCCAGCCAATCCAGAAGCTTCTCATCCATTACATGGAAGGGAATGGCAAAGAGAAAGAGATGACAGAGCTTGTGTGACTCTTGAAAAATTAAAGTGGAAAACATCACAGTCCCTAGGGTAACTAGGGACTTGGTTGTTTGGAGATGTGTTTCCTTTGGGGATACTGGTTCTGTGGGAAGCTTGTGAGCACCATTGGGTACACAGATGCCTGACAGGGCCCTCACCCCGCCCATTGTGTAGATGCCCATGAGGGCCATTGACCTGTCAGTTGGGTGGTGTCCTTACTGGGGTAGGCTGGAAGAGGATTCATTCTCTCCTTCACTTTTCCTTTAGGCCAGCTTCACCTCCCACTTCCTTAGCTCCCTCCTCCTCAGACTGAGGGATGTCTGCTTCATTTGTGGATATTGGGTTTAAAGACATCTCTTACCATGAGGTGTTCTCCACTTCAACAGCCATTAGATTCACAAATAGTATGTTTGGAGTTGACTCTAGAAGCTTGTTCCCACAGGATGTGCCCCTCCCTTACCATCTTGAAATCAGACAGAGTACTTCCCCTCACATTGCTGTCCTCCAAAATTGGAGCCTCCCCTCATCTTGCTGGCCTTCAGAACTGGAGCTTGCTCTTCACTTTGCTGTTCCCCAGCCAGGATGCTGAGGGGGAAGGCTGGTGGCTCCATGTGGCTGGCTGGAGACGTACCACAGGTGGCTCTTGCAGCTTGACAGGAGCTGTGGGATTCTCACAGAATACTTAGTGCCTGGTTCTGTCTTCATCAGACACCACAACATCTTGATGTCTGTCCAGGAAGAATGAGTTGGGTGGCAGTGAGGCCCTGGAAGAGCCCTCCCTAGTCCCCTAGCCACTCTCTGGGGATAGGTGGGAGGAGGGTTGGATCGCTTAGTGATGAAGACCCCAGTCCTTCCTTGGGCTCCTTAGGGAGCCCTGGGGGAAGTGGAGCTTGCTCTTGGCTTGCCTGGCCAGCCTGGCCAGCTTGGATACCTCTTCAATCCCAAGGGGGCTGGAGGTGAGTAGTGATGGGGACAGTTAGCCTAGCATCTGGGCAGTTTACCACATTTTCTCTGCCTTTACAGTCATACATTGGGAATGATGGATTTCTTTTTCTCAATATACTGTCCATTTTCCTATGCTTTTGTAAGTTTTTACCATCCTTATTTTCTATATGTCTATACCATGGTAGGAAATTGTTACATTAATGAAAATCAGGATGTGTTGGTTGGGACAGCCCTCTGCCACTACCTGCCCTGCCCTACAGAGATGGAGTCTCTTTCCACATCTCAGAGAATCACAAAAGAGGGCCCAGCTCTCCCTCAGTTCACTGCCCAGTGAACTATGAATCTATATCTTTGTGTCCAGATTCAGTTTCTCCTGTTGATTTTGGTCTGGTTCTTCACTGACAGTCTCCTCTGGTATTTGGTCCTGGGGGCAGCTCAGACAGACTGGAACCCTGGAACTCTCTGGAACTCTTCTGGCTTCAGTCTCCTCTCCTTCTAGGGCGGGTTTGTTTTGTCTTCTGAAGACCCCAGGACTTCTTCCCTAGCTGGGGTCTTCTAACTCCCTTTCTACCCCCCTCCCAGCATTTCCAAGGACACACATATAGGGACTCAGCCTTGGTCAAAACAAAGCTGGTTACATTTAGTCAGCTTGGACATCCTGTTCTGGGTAGTATAGAAATATTTTATAAGCTCAGCAAGTCTGTTATATACAGAAAGCCAAATGTCTGCTGGTCTCAAGTTCCAGAGATGAAAAATTCAGATGTAGAAGTATGTAAGCAAGGTGGAGGCTGAGGTTAGATAAGAGACCAGCTTGATTTGTTGAATTTAGCCACATGCCTGGTTGTTTCCAGGGATTGGGAGACCCTGTTGGCAAATAATCCAGTAATGCTAGCAACCAAGAACCCTTGATAGGGACCTACAACACTTCATAGAAGCCAACAACACTTGATAGAGGCCCAGAATACTTGACAGGAACTGAGAACATTTGATGGGAACCAAGAACACTGGATAGGGACCCAGAACACTTGATAAGGATCCAGAACCGTTGATGGGAACCAAGAATACTTGATTGACACTGAGAATACCTGATAGGGACAGGGAACATTAGGTAGGAACCAGGAACACCTGGAAGCACTCTCCACTGATTGGTGCCTATCCATACCCACCAACACCCAGTGAGTCTGGATTGCTGAGTGAGGTGTTGTGAGATAGACACCCCCCCCCCCAGCCTGCAGGAGGGAGGGAGCTACAGCTGTGGTGTGGGTAGCCATGTGCCCAGACTTGCTCACAGCTCCCTCTCTGGCCTCAAGTTCTCCATGCTGAAAGCTGGAACTGACCTAGCACATGACATAGGCCTCTTGGAAGAAGAGACCCTAGTGGCCTTCAGCTCTATGTAGAAGTGTTGAAGTGCCAGTGCAGGGGAGTTGGCCTGAGGAGGGAGGGGCTGCATCTGCATGGGGAGGAGGGCAGAGCCTGGGGGTGGGAGGCTGGAGATGGCAGATGTGGTGGGAAAGGGGGACCCCAGGGCCGTGCATGGGCTCCCAGGTTGTCCCACAACAGTTCTCTGGTTTTTTCCTCTGTTTCCAGAACAAACTTAAGCCTGGGAGTCCCCAAGAAAGCCCGAGAGGACCCCCTGCCTGTGCCCTCAGACCAGCATTCACCCCCTTTCCTGTAGGTTGGTTCCAGCTGCTCAGATAATAAGGGCTTGTCTTCTTTCCATAGACCACTATGACTCAGAAGCACCCACTGGGGTGTTGGGCCCTGCAGGGGCCAGCGGTGCTCAGCTTGCCCTCATCGCACCTGCCTGACACTCTTGGTAGAATGACTGGCCAGCCGTGGGTTCAGGGGCTGTATCAGGGCTCAGGGAGACTTGAATGTGGGCAGAAGTTAGCAGGGAGATTTCAGCCTGGGGCAGCAGGGCTGACTTCTGGTACAGGCAGGGCAGGGCGGGGCAGCTACTGCTTGAGGACCAAGGTTTCCCTATGCACTGCCATGAAGCCCTCCGATTATGAAATGGGAGGATGGAGGTTTTTAGGTGATGGACCTGTGCAGCCCCACCTTGCAGACTTTCTCTGGGAGATAAGCACTGGCAGCCACCTCTTAAGCCTGGAAAATTAAGCTTCAGGGGAATGGAGCCAGGGCCTCTGCCCACAGTCCAGCTGTTCATCTTCTATCTTCCACTGCACCTGCCACAGGCCATCCCTGCAAGTCCTGTCAGGGGAGGTGGTAGGTGTCATCACCCTCATTTTGAAGATGGAGAAACTGAGGCCCAGCTCGGGGCAATGACATCACCTAAGATCACATAGCAAGTCAGTGGCCTGGCTCCCCATGGTAAGAGAACACAGAGCTACTGGTCCAGAGCTCCCTGAGGCAGACTTGAGTGTGGGCAGGGAAGTTCACAGGATCTATGGAGCCTCATGCTGCAGGTAGAGTGCTAAAGCTCCAGGTAGTACTTCCTGGGGATGGGGCGGGGCCCTGGGGTATGCAACATCCTAGCCCCTGGGGCTCCCAGTGGGATTTGTACTTTGTGGACCACCAGAGGTTCAGCCGTTTGCAGATCTCAGGATCAGAGTTGAAGGTGGTGGTGTGTGCCTGCCAAGGGCCTCCATAAGCTTCAGTCTTGCTGGGTGCTTCCGAGAGAGTGTGCCTGGCCACAGAAGTATTCATGGCATTTGGTCACTATAGAAACCTTGTGCTGGATCACTGGGGATAGATGGGAGTGGCTAGGCTCAGCATGGCTTCGACCTTCCCCAGGCACACAGCACAGTTGTCCCAGAGCTGGGCCTGGGACAAGGCTCTGTGATTTGCAGAGAGAGGCTTCAAGGGGAGCAGGGGGCTCCTGCCTCTGATTTAGACTGCTTTTTAGGCAGCTGCACCCGACCCCCTTGTCTGAGGTTCTTGTCTTCCCTCAGAACCAGCTCAGAGCTGACCTCCGCAGCCCCAGGCCCCTCTCTTCCTGTGGATGGACCTCCTTTCCCTTTCTCTAATTGTCCTGAGACTCTCGCATCTTGGTCTTTCTCACGCTCCTGGGTTCCTGGCTCTGCTGCTCTGCCACCGGCTGGTTGATTGCTTTGCAGCTTGTCTCCCTTTGGGTCACAGGGAGGCCTGGGGAGTGGTGGTGGTGTTGTGGGGGCTGCTTTTCTTTTTTCCCTGGATTCAGTTTCCCTGAGAACTCTCCCTTGACTCTTGCTCCCCTGCTCACCCTTCCAGGCAAACTTACAGGTCTTACGAACACTTCTAAGAAATCTTTTACAAAGTCAGAGGCACCTGCGTTTACTGTAGAAATGTCTCAGGTCCAGGAAGGGCAGGCACACTTTGGAGCTAAAGAAAGAGGAGGAATCTCAGGATATAGAGTTCAGGTTGGGTATTGGCATGCCGTCCAGGCTGCAAGCAGAGACATGTACCCTTGTATCCACCATCCATCCAACTGGGGCTGAAGAGTCACTGGCCACCCCTTAAAGTATGGGAATGGAGATGATGGACTAACCAGCCATTCCTGTAAACCCAACCACATTCTTTTAATCAGTGAGCAAAGCATCCTTAATTGCCTCTATCTCTGTGTGCATACAAAAAAGACCTTTTGGCTTGATGCCTAAACTCATGCCTATTATCCTAGCTACTCAAAGAGGTTAAGCTCCAGAGGATCACAGTTCAAAGTAAGCCTGGACAGAAATTCTTAGAGACTCCATTTCCAAGATAACCATGACTGTCCTGGCCCTCTCTCCATCCCTTCAGCTTCTCTGCCCACCCTGGGTCTCCCCAAATCCCTCCTTGGTTTTGTTTCTGCCCAATGGCCCAGCTGACAGAAGTGCTAATCTTGTCACACCCAGCAGCTGCGTGCAGAAATGCTACTGCAAGCCACAGCGGGCTCAGCAGCACTCTTGCAAGATGTCAGAACTGTCCACCATTACTCTGTAAGTGTGCGTGGCCATGGCTGTGGCCGGGAGTTGTGGCCGGGAGGGGGACGCATGCTGCTGCCGCCTCAAGCTTGCGTCCTGCCAGGCTGGAGGAGCATGGAGGCCACTCTGCCTCTGAGCCCACCCTGCCCCACTGTTGCATGTGGATGTTGTGTGTTTTGTGAGTCCTCTGCAGTCTCGTGTATGGGGGGGGGGGATGGGCAGGGGATGGGGACAGGCCTTGGCATTGCAGGAGCATCTGGGGCCTGCCTGGGCCAACAGGGAGGAGAGGCAGGGTGTCTGCCGCCTCTTACATGGTCTTCCCAGATTCCTTGCTTCCCTGGACTTCAGTTTTTGTAGCTACAAACTCTCTCTCAGAGCTTGAATCTGTAGAAGCAGCCCTTCGTACCCCCTGCAGAAGTCAGGGGCCTCCTTCCTTCCTTCCTGCAGAGGGAGCACACAGAACACCTTGTGTGGGACTCTACCAGGGTCCTATGAGGTGGGCCTTTGCCTCCATTTTACAAGGGAGGTGAAGTGACTCACTCAAGGCCACCCAACTGCCAGGATTTGAGGCCAGAGGTCCTAAGCCCTGTGCTCCAGATCATCTCTGACTAGAGTATTGGCTTCTGCCTGATTCATACCCTGGTGAGGCCTGCTTTAATTGCTCGGCCCCCACCACTAGAAGCTCTTTGTGGCATTTTAAGGCTGTCTTCCTCGTGCTGGCTCCTTAGGGGAGGAGGTCCTTGTGTCACCTTCTTTGGACCCATGAGACCAAGTGTGAAGCTCACAGTCTGTGTTCCCAGGTGCTGGGGTCACCAGCTGGCATCCCTGCCTGTGTGGGGTCACTGCAGGTCTGGTGGGGGCTCAGGAGCAGCCGCTGGGCCATACCGTGGGGTATCTGGGTATGCTCATCACCTGCCTCCTAGGAGGAGGAGCAGAGCTGTGCCTGGAAGACCCCAGCTTCTCCCTCTGAACCTGGCTTAATGCCCCTGAGGATGTTGGAGAGGTCTGGCATCTTCATTGCCAAGGGCCCTCTTCAGATTGCAGGAATAAGGACCTAGATCTGAAGGAGAAGAGGATGGGAGGGAGGACTTGGATGGTCTCAGAGCTGTACCCCTTCCTGATCTCCTCCTCTGTAAGCCTCTGCTTTAAAGTTGCCTTTAGGCCAGACCTGCAGAGCCCTAGCACCTAGGCACCGTCACTTCCAGCCCTTCCCCTCTGCTCTTCCAACTCTCATTCTGTCCACAGATCCTCTTCTGCCTTCTGTGCCTGGCCCTGGTGCCCAGCGGTCTAGGTGCCCAGAAGATGTTTAGTTTTAAGGACTCTATATTCTCATGTCCATGTGGCTCACTGACTCCTCCATGGAGCAGGCATTCCTGGTGTCTGCCCTGTGCTTGGCTGTGCTGGCCACAGATAAGCAGGCATCTCCCTGCCTTTAGGGCCTCGTCAGGGAGGGCAGAGGAGAGAAAGGCCAGAAGCAGAGCCTGCTCCGAGGAGGTGCACGTGGGCTCCCAGCAGGGACTGCTCAGATCCTGTTGGGACCTAGAGAACCTGTTGCTTTGAGCAGAATAAGGCAGGGGTGGCCAGCATGCAGGCCCTCCTTCTGGGCTGAGCCTCCTTCTGAAGGCCACCTTCCCCTTTCTGTCTCTTTCCACCTCCTTAGAAGCCAGGACACCGAGTGCCATGCCACCTGGAGCACACCAGGGTGTGTCACAGACTCCGAGTCTTTGACATTTCTAGAAATCTAGAACCCCACATTTATAGAATAGTCTCCCACAGGAAGGGTTGGTGGGAGAGACACACAATGTTGCCCCCAATCAAATGGACACCAGTGACCCACCGTCCATTGCCAAGGGCTAAGCTATGCCAGAAGTGGGTGAGACTGGCAGTTCAGAGGAGACAGGCTGGGCACAGCAGAGGAGTGATATCAGAAGTGCAGTGCAGGGAACAACCAAGGGGCAATGTCTGCAGGGCCAGGCACAGCCATGGGATGATGTCTGCAGGGCCGGGCACAGCCAAGGGGCGATGTCTGCAGTTCAGGGAAGGGCACAGCAGAGGGGCAATGTCAGCAGTGCAGGGCAGGGTAGAGCTGAGAGGCAATGTCTGCAGTGCAGGGCTGGACCACTCTGGAAGGCCCACGGGGAGCCAGAGTGCTAGGGTGGGTAATAGCATCCTTCTCTGGAAAGCCCAGGGAGCACTTGCTCCCTGCAGAGCAGGCCCAGAATGTGTGTTCTCCAATGCTCTCACTGTGGCTTCTATGCGCTGAGCCCTTAGAATAGGGTTGTACCCCACTCTTGGTAGCCTGGGGAATGAGGCCTGCCCCACTTCAGAGCAAATGCCTTCTCTTCTTCTGGCCAGGTTCCTGGGTAGCAGCTTCACCTGTCCAGGTAGAGCTAGGCTGTGTCCAGAGACAGTTCTGCCCAGAGCCCTTCCCAAGTCTGTCTCTGAGGTCCACCCATATCCCCTCTCTGTCATCAGCACAGCCTACATTGGCAGCCAGTGTCCCCAGCTAGCATTGGACTCAGAAAACCTCTGATTCTGGCTCTCAAGGGCAGCCATATACAGGGCTTCCTTCCAGGGTGAGAAGTTTGGCCTGGAGACTCCAGCCTCATCCTATGCTTTCCCTGCCTTCATTTCCCAGTGTATTGTGCACACTGTTCAAGAGAGCCTTATAGATCCTGCCTCTGTTTCTAAGTGGCTCTGCAGGACACTGGCCCTGAAGCCTTGCTTTGGTCAGTGACTTCTCTGGTCAGTGAACTGCTCTTTGAAGCTTCTTGCACTATACTGGGAGAGCAGATCTGGGGATGGGAACTAGGGAAAGCCAGGGGCTGATGCTGGGCTCTCTGCCCTCCACACCTCTGGCCCCCAACTCTGGCAGCACCCAGAGCAGATGCCTTGCTTTCTCCTAACAGACGGCTGGCCCGGTCCACCCTGTTGCTCATCCCTCTGTTTGGAATACACTACACGGTCTTCGCCTTCTCTCCAGAGAATGTCAGCAAGAGGGAAAGACTTGTGTTCGAGTTGGGCTTGGGTTCCTTTCAGGTAGGCACGATGCCCTAGAGGCACAATCTTTGGAGCTGACTGGGCCTGAGGCCTGAGCTTGGGCCTGCAGCTGGTTGGGGGAACTGTGTGCACTGTGCCTAGGGGCTTTGGTGCTTCTGTTCTGAAATGAATCCTAGACTACGAGTGCACGGGGGCAGCCCTGTCTGACACTAATGTCAGGCCGTTACTGTGTCTGGATCCTGAGGTCTAAGGAGACACTAATGTCAGGCTGTCACCATATCTGAGGCCTGAGGCAGGCTTCTTGGAGTGATGGAGGTTGCAACTCTGCAGCAACCTGGGACGATGGATGGGGTGGTTTTGAGAGCCCTGGTGTCCACATCCTGGCTTTGGCCTGCTGGACTGTACCCCATGGAGGATGGACTTTGGCTTTACTCCAGTTGGGGTTCCTGGTTCTTCAGAGATCCTGCTTAGGGCCTGGCCACATAGAGTTGAAAGAGCTGGACAGATGCACTGGCTAGCAGGTGAGTGGTTAGGGGGCGAGGAGGTGAGTGAGTGAGTGATGGGCAGAGACAGAGAGAAGGAGGTGGACCAGAGGGACAGATCCCCTTGGTGTCTTCAGAGCCTCCTTTGTGAATGACCTGTACATCTGCCCCTATTTTTATTCAAGACCATTTTACTTGGCACTTAGCTTCGTGAGGCTCAGAGTTGTAAAGGTGAAGTTCTGACCCTTGAATCAGAACCCAAGTCTCCCATCTTTCAGGCTGAGAAGGAAGGAACCAGGGAATGTAGGGAGCAGACCAGAGGCGTCAGGAAAGTCTTAGTGCTATGTCTGCTGTAGAGGGGGAGTAGCTGAGTTCTTACTGGGTGCCTGGTCCTTGCTCTGCTACATACAGAAGTGTCTGGTCAGGGAGAGCCGAGGAGGAAGGGCTGAGGGGGAAGGGCAGGGGACAAGGGCAATGGTGCTGAACAATACAATTCAGGTGTCTCCATCCTGCGTGGTCTTCTCCCCCTCAGGAGCCTGGGCACTAGTTGAAAGTCTGTTCTGGGTGTTTAAAGTGCACTTCCTGTCAGCAAAGGGGAAGACCAAAGGTGGGCATAATGCTTACAGGAATGGTTTGACTAAGGAGGTTTGTGATGCAAGGCCTTGGGGCACCAGTGGGGGCTAGATTGATCTGGTTCCCTGGGTATACTCTTTAAGGTGGGCAGATGTCCCCTATACAGCACAGGACTCTAGATCCCTGCTGTCCCCTATCCGGCGTGTAGTTTTCTGCATCCAGGTGTCCCTCCACCCTCCTAGCATTGCGGGTGAACACTGCATTGCAGAAGGGCCTCTCAGGTGTACTATCCTCTTTCCCCAGGGCTTCGTGGTGGCCGTGCTGTACTGCTTCCTGAATGGGGAGGTAAGGTACTGGCATTCAACAGGGAGGTGGGACTCATCAGGGAGCAGCTGGGCTAAATGCTCTGTCTGCAATGCTCCGCCAGGCTCCCTGCACTGGGGAGGGGAGGCTGGTTGCACAATTGCCATGCGGCCCCTGGTCTTCATCCGGGTGGGGATCTCTCCATCTTTGCCACTGAGGCCCAATCTGCAGAGTGTTTCTGCTCCCCAAGGGCATCTGTGCTGCTGGCACAGAGCTGCCCAGAACCTCTTTGCCATCAGACGTTCAGTAAGGAGAGGAGTTGTCAGTAAGCAGTGGGCAGGCTGGTGGTGGCTGGGGCTGGGCCAGGAGGCTATGCTGGCTAGAGCTGGTAGCCACCCTCAGCAGACCAGCTTGTCTGATCCAGACCTGCCCCCTGTGGAAGTAGTGGTGAGGGCTTGAAACAGACCCTAGGGAGACACTTGGAACCATCCTAGAGTGCTCCATCTCTAGGGCAATGGCTTGGGGCTTCTTCTCTGGCTTTTTGGAGCCTAGAGCAGAGGTGTGGGGGTGGGGCAGATGGGATGGGGATGTACTTGAGGAATGAGCAGCTGTCTGCCCAGAGCTCCCATCTAACTGCATGTCCTGACCCAGCAGACTTTCCCCTTATTTTTTAACTGAGGCTAGAATGAATATTGGGTTCAGTGATTGCCATGTCAGCCTATAGCAAGGGTCAGATTAGGACAGACGAGGAGAGGTGGAGATGGCCTTGTGGAAGGTATCTGGGTGAGTTTGGGTAGCTGGGCAGGGCCTGCAGAGGAGGTGGGAGGCAGAAGTGGAGAGGTTAGTGCTGCTGGATCCAGCCGTGCAGTTTGCACACAGCACAAAGCTATACGGCAGGGGGAGTGTATGGAGGGTGAGATTCCCTGGGCGTGGCCCCACTCACTGTACCAGCAGCTGTGTGGGCCTGTGTTTGCTCAGGGGCGGATGACACCACTTAGTGGCTGTCAGCCCTGACTGCTGTTGGTGCCACTTGGGAAGTCGCAGAGGTTGCGTCTGCCAGGAGGAGCTGATGTCACTGTTCATAAGGGCTGGATATCTGGGACACGTAAACCGGCTCTGTGAGGGCTGGGACCATCCTGGTGTTAGTGATCAGCAAGGGCTGGGACTATCTCAGTGCTAGTCAGCCAAGGCCAAGACCCTTGCCTTGATCTCTCCGCTCAAGGAGAATGCTTGGTAGAGCCCTGTGAGCCCCAGGACTGCTCTCTGGCAGGCACGGGCAGGCAGGTATCTAGAAGCCTCTCAGAGGCTGTGTGAAGCAGGGTTGCAGGCTGTTCTAGGGGAGCAGGAAGGGCCGGAGGTGGTGGGGGCAGTGGGAAGACTCCAGGTCAGGCAGGGACAATGGGTAGACCCCAAGCCAGGGCAGGCTAGCAGTTGGGGAGAGTGTCTAGGAAGTCAACGGAAATTACCCCTTGCAGGTGCAGGCAGAGATCAAGAGGAAATGGCGGAGCTGGAAGGTGAACCGCTACTTCACCATGGACTTCAAGCAGCGGCACCCATCTCTGGCCAGCAGCGGGGTGAACGGGGGCACCCAGCTCTCCATCTTGAGCAAGAGCAGCTCCCAGCTCCGCATGTCTGGCCTCCCGGCTGACAATCCAGCCACCTGAACCTCCCTTCCTGAGCCTCCCCTCTCCCTCTTCCTGCACAGGCTGGGGTTGTGGGCAGAAGCCTGCACAGGCCTGTGCCTCTCCCCCTCCTTGGGCAGGTCTTGGATGGGAAGCAGGGCTCCTCTCCAAGGGGGAGAGGGAGGCCCCTTGTTTGGGTATAGGCCCTTCCCCATTGTGGTCCCCTGGGTCCTGATTTGACATGTAAATATTCCTCAAATTTGGATAATTGCCCTATCCATCCCCTACCCCATATCCTGCTCACCTTTTCCCAGCCCTGGCTCTGCGACACCCTGCATTCTGGCCTGTCTGGGTGATGGCCTGACCCCAGGCATGACCTTATGAACTGAGGCTGAAGAGAGACCCTGCTTTGGGGAGGTGGGCTGGTGCTCACCCTTGCCCGTCAGTGTGTGACATGGGCCTTTCTCAGCCTGGGCTCAGCCCTTACCAGAGGTCCTGTTCGGGAGGCCCATTGTCCTTCAGTGCAGGCTGGCCCCAGGCCTCCTCATGCTCACCTGGTGTCTTGATGTCCAGATGCCCAGCTACTGGGTACCAGAACATTGGGACAGCACCAATAGAAACTTCGGTTGGGGAGATGGGGCTGATGGTCAGAAAAGTTCTGGTGCTTTTCACTTGATCCAAGAAGAACTGAGAGCCAGAAATGCAACTGGGATGGAGATGGGGAGGTTTGGGGACCCATGGCAGACCTTTGCCATCTCCGTTGTGTTCCAGACTCAAGTGGGGCTGGGCTCTTCTGGTGGCTTCCTTGCTGTCCCTCTTGTCCCTGGTGGTGGCCCAGAGTAGCTGCTCCCACTTCCCCAGAGTCTCCAGTTACTCCCTGTCCCCTCTGAAGTCAAAGCCATGACTAGGATGACCCAGCTGTCTTCCTGAGAGTCTGTGAGTCTGAAGCACTGCTCATCTCCACGTGCCCGAGGCAAGAGCCCAAGGACCGTCTCCCTGCCTCCATAGATGGCAAAGAGCCCCAGACACCTGGGCTCCAGTACCAGACTCTGAAATAGATGCAAAGACTGCCCTGTGTGCCCTAGACACTGGGCCACTGCAGATAGCTACCAGGGTGTTTGGGGGGGGTGCTATGCCCCCCACTGTTAGCAGAGGCTGTGGATGGATAGAGTGGGCCCCCCCATTGTCCATCCTGACCCCCCCCAACAGTGATAAGTTGTACGGCCACAGCCTAAGAATTGAAAGTCAGGCCAGACCAGGCTGGTTGAAGGTAGAGGAAGGTGCTGGAGAGCCAGGGGCTCATGTGGCCCAGTTCATTTTGTGTCTGCTCTTGGTCTTGTTCCTGTCTGTGTTTGTGGACCTGCATCATGGCAGTGTTCTGGAATGCTTGGGGTGCAGGGACTGTTGCTTCACTGGGTTTCATAAAGGGACACGGGGCAGTGCTTCTGGGAGATGTCTGAGTGGCTGGTGGGAGAAAGCACTGGTTGCTCTAATTTAGTGATGAGTCCTGTGTCTTTGGCTGGCTAGGTAAGTTCTTGGGTCTTTGGCAAAGCTAGAGGAAGATCTTCCCTAACTTTTCCCAGGCCTGCTCAGTGACTTCTACTGGCTGAGGGTGTTGGGTGTGCAGTGGCCTTTGCCCTGCCCCGATCCCCATGATCGCCTCCCTTGCTCTGGAGGTCAGGTTGTATCAGCCAACCAAGTGTCTGCTGTCGCCTTGATTTCAGACACTACTAGGGGACCTGAGATGTTTGGAAGGGGCCTGGATTCAGAAACCTGGGCTCTGTCCCAGGTAGGCTCAGACTGCTGGGACTATGGACACAATGTTCCTTGTTCTGAGCCTCAGTTTCCCCATTTGTGAAATAATGTGGCCTCTAATGCTTCTCCAGGCTCTGTACTTTAGTAACTTTCCAGTTCAAAACTTAGGCAGGTAAAATGGCAAGTGTCACTCCTTGTGTGTGTCATGTAAGATTGTGTGTGTGTGTCTGTGTTTGTGTCTGTGTCTGTGCCTGTTTATCTGTGTAGGAGTGGGAGGATGATGTTTATTTCCCCTTTCTTAGAAACCAAACTCCTTTCACTCATTTGGCCAACCACAGTGGAAGCTGTCTGAGCAGAGGAAAGGCCAAGGCCATGGACCTTGGGAATAGCACAGAGACCCAGCCTTCTACCTCTGGTGGGGTCAGATGCCCTGACTGCATGACACCTCAGATCCAAGAAGCAATCCCTAAGGTGTGGACCCTGTTATTTGCAGTCATCCCCATGAGCAGATTTGCTTCACATGGAAGAAACAGTGATGGTCAGACCCATTATCAGGAAAAAGTAAAATTCACCTGGACCCACTGCTCTCAGTGCCCAGGCCTGAGGTATCCCAGAGATTCTAGGATCCTATGGGGGTTTCTGTCTAAATGAGTTTGTGCCAATGTGATATATTTGGAATATTCCAGGAGGTTCTGGCTCTAGGTCACAGGCAGTAGGTGCGCAGCACAATGCCTGGTGAAGCCCTTTCCTTTGGCCTCTTTACAGTTCTGTAGAAGGGGCACAAGGACTGCATGGTTTGCCTAGCCTGGGGTGCTCCTGGGTTCTGTCTAACACTAGCCATCAGCCTCAGGGGGATTGAAGGAAGCGTAGTTGACAGATGAGGATGGCCCGTCTTGGGACAGGGCTCTTGTTCTGTGCAGTCTGAGAGGCTGAATACCCCCTCTCTTGTCTCCTTTCATGAACATTCATCCATGGGACAGGCTGAGCAGACTCAGGAGATGGTATATAGATCTGCAGAATACCGAGTAACAGGAAAGCTGGGGGGGGGGCGGGTTCAGATGGTTGTGGGGTGTTGCAGCTTTGCGTGGCTCCCTGAAGTATGAGCTCGGAACTCTCACATGCTTCAGGCAAGACCCCATTTTCCATTTCAGTGGGAAGCTGATGAGGAGCCTTCAGTGATTCCCCTCAAATCTGGTTATTTCTGTCCTGGATTGTGTGGGGATTAGGGTCAGGGAGTTCCCGCATACCCCAAACTAGAAACACCCGCATCTATCGCCACTCACTTGGTCTCAGCGCCTTGACTTGCCCTCCTGAGGGAGAGCCAGAGGGATCTCATCTTCTTAGTTCTTTGAAGACCATGGCCCCTTCAGGGCCACCCTCCCAAAGAAGAAAGAGGGGCCAGGAAGCTAGAGGGAGCGGGTAATGGGGCATCTCAACGGTGCCGTTAACCTGCTTGACCTTGATTCGGTCCCCAGCCATCACAGGGTACTAGTGCTGGGAGGAGCTTGGAGGTCTGCTGGTCAAACCTCCAGTGGGCTGACAAGGACACACAGAAGGCCCTGCACACATCCGAATGAGGAAATGGCCTCAGCTATGTGTGCAGCCCTGTGAGAGGGCAGGAATGTGACCTTCATCCAGCCCTCCAGTAACAAGCTACCTTCTGCAGGACAGAGTCCCTGGCCATGGAAAGCTGTCTGGCCTCTGGGCTCCACAAGCAGCTGGAGTCATCAGAGTGTGATGTCTACTCTAACCTGGTTTCTTCTATGATTCCTAGCCCCAGGCTTGCCCTCTGCCTCTGGTCAATGAGGAAGCCATGACAGCCCCAAGCCAGGTCTGGGGGAGCAGGGTGAGACACCCATGGTGCATGAAGGATCTTTGGAAATAACAGATTGGGAGCCATTCCTGAGAAGGACCCCCAAAGAACTGACTGGCTGTCTCCTGTTTCGAACCTTCCTGGGTTGGCTTTCACCTAGTTCGTAAAACCACCAGCACTGGGAATATGGCCTTGGGGTTCTGGTGGGCGCAGAGGTCCAGGTTTGTCTTCATCAGCTGACTAGGTTTGCTCTTGAATTCCATGTGCTTGCTGTGAGCATGTCCGTGATACCATCTGGAATCCTTCAAGGACTTGGTGTACTCATCTGGCCCCCACTTGTTCCTGATCTCCAGGTCCTGGGGTGTGCTTGCTCTCAGCCATGTGTCTTGTCTGCTGTCTGTCTTCTGTAGCTTTGTGCTGCCAGGGCTGCAGTGGTACAGCCCCTGGCGTCCCAGATGTGGCTCCAGGCTCTCATCAGAGCTGGACCAGCCTGGGTTCCACCGTCCGCCAGAGAGAGAAAACCCGACACACCATAGAACTACTCTGCCTCCATTAATGCTGTGCTTACAACCTTGTCTGGGATTTTAAAGTTGTCAACCTGCTGTAGACAGCTCAATAAATGTCTTCTCATTTTTGCTGGTGGCTGTAAATTGGTGGAGGTTGAGGGCAGGGAGCAGAGGACACTGAAACCCCATTGCTACAGAATAACCCGGTCTACAAGGCTCTGTGGCCTTGTGATTCCAAAGTAGAGGTATTCAAATGGGCTTGAATGAACTGAGAGCAGACTTGGAAGAGTAAAAGCAAAGTCTGGCTCTTGAAAGATATTCCTTTTACTTGTGTGGGACCAGGATTATTGGAAGAGTTTGGGTTCGGGAAATGTAAGCAGCTTGTTGAATAATCTTTGGTTCTTCACGATGCTCCACAGTCTTGCGTTTTGTCCCATGGAGACACAGCACATCCTTGGCTGCCAGAACACCAGCCCCTCACCCAGTGGATAGTCAGAGCTGTTGGATCAGCCTGGACATCACCATTACCACTACCTCCAGGCCTCAGTGCGTGGGGTAACTGAACCCCCAAAATCTAATCAAGGAAACTTTGCCAGTCTGGGGTACAGCTTGAAAACGGCACCCAACTTTGCTCCTAACAAAGGAGGATGTGCACACAGCTTTGTCATGGGACAAGCCCTGTAACCATGAGACTGCCAAAAGATTTGGAGGATCAAGATGATGGCTTGTACCCCTGTTGGTCAGCAGGTGTCCCTCTCCTCCAGTGTCATGCATGTGACAAGGCCTCTTACAGGCAGGGTGGACATCAGCCTGTAAGATGTAGCAGATCGAAGCATGAAGAGATACTGGAAAAAGCCAGAGACATTTTACTTTCTCCCATTTCACTCTGAATCTGGTGCCATCTAGAATGCTAGGCATCATCGTGGACCATGAGGCAGTTCTTGGCAAGGACTGGTACCTGCATGCTAACGACAGAGGGCTAGAAAGAGGCTGGAGTCCCTAGAGAGACATCAAAGACATAATGT